AGGCTGAGAATGGGGCGAAAAAAAGAGGAAAAAAGGTGTATGCTGCAGCTGTAGCACGACAGTCTCTGCTCCCGTCCATCCCTCGCCAGCCCCGGCGCTGTGGGCACTTACCTGGCCCGAGGGTCCTGTCCTACCCCTTGACTGCCGCGGAGGAGCGGGGTGAGCAGGGGGTTATCGGGCACGAACACGCTCCAACTGCCATCCTCGTGCCAACAGCCTCATTTTGCTGCTCTCGCTCTTTTTCTCGCTCTGTAAAACAGGAAACGTTGCAGCCGAGCCCCGGTTCCTGTCTCTGCTCGCAGCCCGGCTGTGGGGCGTGGGGGCCTGGCTCGTGGCAGGATTTGGGTTATCTTGGCACCCCAAAGTGTCCAGCTTCTCTCCAAGCAGAGCCAGCGATTATCTTTTGGCCCATCTCCCTTTATCAGTCTCCAACATGTGGAGTTGAGCGCTGGTTTATGGAGCTGCTTGTGGCATTCGGTGACCAGGTCTTCCCAAGCTGCTTTGGGGTAGAGGGATCCAGACTTAGGGAAGTACAGTAATGCTACTTTTTTTTTTTTTTAAGGCTTCTTGCAGATTGGAAAGGAAAAAAGTGTGTATCAGCAGCTGAGGAGAGGTCAGGAATGGTAGAAATTCATTAATGTCTTTAGAGAAGTGAAAGCTGTGTTAATGCAAATCATGCAGGGAGGTGGGTTGGACCAGCTGGGCGCTGATAAGGGCTCTGTGCCTCTGCACGTGGAGAAGGAACACGAGTCAAAGCAGAGATCTCATAAAATAACACAGGATTTATTTTCAAAGATCAGCCTAGAGGGGATACATGACAAAAAATTTCCCATTCAAAGACCCTCTCCTGGCTTTGGGTGGTTTGTGTTGCTCGGCCCAAATCCTCTTTCTCAGCCACGGCTCAGCTCACTCCCCGCAGCGCTCGGCACCGCTGCCTGTGTGGTGAGGGAACAGTTTCTGGTTGAGCAGGAAACCTGCTGGTGAGCAGGACACTCAGCTTCTCTGAAGTGCCTCTTGATTGGAAAAAGCCAGTTACAAGAGTTCATTACTGAAAAGGACATTTTCGTGCTGTGTTATAGGCTTTTGGTGCATCTTGTCTCGGGTTTCCAGGGTGCATTGGCATGGGGCTGCCCTAGAGGCATGCAAAAGGGCACCCAGGTTCACACCCACATCCCTCATGCCTGGCCCAAGGTGTCCCAGCACGTTTGCCACCATGGGGGTTATGGTCTTCTGACATTTTCCACCTTATAGCTGCTCCTGATGAGGGAGTCGAAGAATTCAGGGGCTATGGCCTGGAGGAGGAGCAGGCTGCCCATCATTCCGGGGGGGTAGTGCAGCTCCCGCTGGCGCAGTGCCCCGCTCTTGATGATCTCCAGCGCACACTCCTCCTTGGGCGCCGGCGTGCCCCGGATGGCGTGTGAGACCGCTCGCACCGCGCTCTCTGGAGGGATGGGAGGACAGGGAGGGAGCAGTGTCAGATGGAGGGGCTGCCACAGGCACCACCAGCTCAGTCGGGTTGTCTGTGCTTCCTCTTACAAACCAACAGACTCTGGGGATCAGACCTACTTAACAAGCTTTAGAATAATTAAAATAAATAGCAATTATATGATGTCCTTCCCATGCCTTTCCACCTCTTGAGTGACCATAGGACAGAATCCCAGCCTCCCCTGGGTTTACTGCAAGGAGAGCAGAGTCAAAGGTCTTGGGCCACACTCTTTAAAGAGTTGAGGTCCTGTTTCAAGTTGTGGCTGCTCCTCCCTGGAAGTGTTTGTGGCCAGGTTGGATGAGGCTTTGAGCAACCTGGTCTAGTGGAAGGTGTCCCTGCTGCTGGCAGGGGGGTTGGAACTGGATGAGCTTTAAGGTCTTTTCCAACCCAAACCATTCTATGATTCCACAGTTGCCCAGCCATGGCAGGCTGAGGGTCCCGCAGTGGAGGAGAAGCAGCCTGGGGCCAGGGGGTGGGTGGTGGGCTCAGCTCAGCTCTGCCTGGAAATGCAGTGAGTCGTGGGGTCCCAGTGGTGCTGCGCTTACCTGTGTTGATGTAGCCCAGGATGCAGAGGGTGATGGAGACATTGACCTTTTCTATGATGAATTCATGTCGCAAGGAGCTGAAAAACCCATCTAAGGCGAACTTAGTTGCAGAATAGGGAGCAACGAATGGGTTGCCAGTTTTACCTGGGGCAGAGACACAATGTCAGGGTCTGTGTACTGGGCAGACACCAGACTGCACAGCTCTCCCTTCCTCTTGCCCTCTGAGTAGCTACAATATTGTGATTTAGGATGACTGAGTAATTTGTCACGGCTGCTTGAGAGAAAGAAACAAATGCAGGAATGTTTAAAATGTAACATACGGCAACCAGTGGCATGAAGCACCGTCAGTTGTGGGTGATACTGGTCTTGTGCTCCTGCATACGTACCCGTGTATAGCACATGTGTGTGGAACGTGTGGGCAGGCACATAAAATAACCCACAGTGGTGTAGCAACGGCTGCAACGCGTGAAGGTGATCGGTGGGTGCAAAGAGACTGGCAGGGCAGGGCGTGGGATGTAAATCCCGCAGAGGACTTGAATTGTGCATCCAGGATATAAATCAGACGCTGATCCCAGCTCCCAGCGGGGTGGCTCTGTGCCTTATGGTCCTTACTCTGTGTTTTGAAGAGCTGCAGCAGGGATCCCTTGCAGGCAGAGGAAGGGATGTGGGCAGAGAGAGCCTGGCCCCTC